GATGTCCATGGCGATGAGAATCTAATCATGATGAGATCACGATAATGAGATTGATTCGCCTTTAGACACAAACCCTAAATAATCCTGATTATACTCGAGAGGGATATTAAGATTGCTAGTTATAGGTGCCCTGCAAGCTAATCATATGAGTGATGACACATGTGATATGATACATACTCTTTTTGTTTATTATTTATTTAATTTTTTCTTACTTTATATTTCTTATTGTATACATTGTGATATCCATAGACCTATGCGGGAATTGGATCGTGATGGGATCACGATAATGAAACTGATTTGCTTTTAAATATAAACCTTAAATAATCCCGGTCATAGGTTACTCGAGAGGAACATCGAGATAACTAGGCATACTGGTATATTGTATACTCATCCATATGATGGAGGTAGTTGGTCTCATAGCTGCTCGTGTAGGGACACTAGGGATACAAAGCATGTGCTCATTAGAGAATGAGTTCACTGATCGATCCACTCACGGAATGTTGGATGGTTGATGATACCTCATTATGAGATAGCAATTCCATTGTTCTAGTGGTGTATCTGGTCCTTAGACTTAAGACGGTAAAGATGTCCTATATTAGTACTTCATTCTTTGACACCAGACTTCTAGGTCTGGAAGTTTTAGATCTAGCACATATAGTCATTAGGAGTGGTAGCCAACATTACGAGGGCTATTGAGTGTCAATAGAGAATCATCTGCTCTCGGTGTCATAAGAGGAATATCATATGTATTCTTGCTCAGGAAAATCTCTATCCATAGTTATTCGGATTGAGAAAGAAAGTGTTTTCCAGGAAAATCCGATTAGCGCAAGACTCAAGTAGATTCCGTATGAGCCTAACAATACCATGCCTGATATATGGTCTTTGGAATATTAGATGAATGAGAGACTATAGATATACAGTAACTAATGACAAACATGTTCAATGGATTGGATTCCCCTATATCGTTTAGGGATTGTGACGTAGTGTCTTAGCACATCCATAGTCAATGAATCGAGTTCTGACAAGTATGAATTATTATGGAGATAATAATTCATTGAGCTAGAAGGAGTTCTGATAGGTATGACTCACGGCTAGCTCAATATTGGGCCTAGAGGATTACACACATATTGTAGGTGTTGCAACTAGTAGAGATTCAGATATGAGATATCTGTTGGAGCCCATATCTTATTAGATATCCAATAAACCCCTAAATTATTGGATCCTACGAATGAGATCTAATAATAGCTAGTAAGAGATTATTAGGTAGAGATCTACTAATCTAATATGCTTGGGTAGTTGGATGAATATGTAAAACCCAATATGATAGGATCCATTAAGGTTAAGTTGATAGAGACATCTATAAATATGAGGGAATCAAAGGGCTATAGGCTAGACCTTTTTTAGTTGCCACCTCCTATAGTCCTCTCTCCCTCTCCTCCTCAGCCAATAGCCCCAAATTGGGGTACGTGGACAGCAAAAAGGGTTGGCCCTTTCTTGATCGCGTGAAACACGTGGAAAGGAGGATTATGCAGCGATTTGAGGAGCGCCTTCGCAATGCCTACCAAGTGGATCACCGCTAGAGAGGAGGATAGTTGATCTCCTTCATCCTCTCATATAGATATGTAGGTTTTCAAGGATATATAATCTCTCTAGGTAACAAATCTTTTACATACGCGCAGTGTTCAATTTTGTGAGTTTTTATGCTTCAATCTTCGCACGATAATGAGAGACTTTTTTCTATGAAAAATTATAGGATTTTATTTTTTTATTCTTCCACGGCACATGTGATGCTGCCCTAGATTTCCTAATAGATTTAAGATATAAAGTACTTAATTTAAGTATATCATGACATTATATTTTAAATTTAATATGTATACAAGCACACTTGATCATTATGGATTATGTCCCTTTGCTGGCACCTACATTTTGAGTTGAATCAAGTTTAAGTTTAAGTTACTACAAAATAGTTATCATATGACTTACTATATGTATCATATATTTTAAATAATATGATTGTCATGAGTTAGGTATATGCTTGATGTTAATATATGCACTTTGTAAGTATAAAAAAATATGAATTATGATAAAAATTTATTATCTACATATTTATATAATGACATGCGATATAAAAGTACATATATTTTTTATGACGTACATATGGGATTGCATATATAAGCTATGACATAAAGTCTAGGAGTGCACATATATATCATTAGCTATGGTGTAGGAGTGTATGTATATGCTATGATATATGGTATTGAATTTCATGATTATACAATTTTTCCAACTCATATGCATTGTGACTTTTAGCTCTTTGATTTGCATTTGTTATATTACATTACTATACATTTTAAAGAAGAAGATGATGCATTTATCTTTAAATGTTTTACTCTTATGATTTAAAAATATTACATAATACGACACATGCTCACCCAAATAAAATTATAAAAAAATATACTTATTAAATTATCACCCACCTTATATCATATTTTTCAAGTAAGTACATTGGTACCCAACCCAAGCGATAAATAGGGAGATCAATAGATGTGAGCCCATACTAGTGCAACAATAATTTGTGAGCATTTTTATATGTATAAATTTTGAACAGGATATGCATGTATTTTTCTTTCAATCAAATGTTTATAACTATGTACATATTGTTAAACACTACTTTATACAAGAAAAATTCTATTATTTTGTTTAGTAAATCAATATGTTTCAAAGTTGTCTATTTTTTATAGCATATTAGTAAACTGAAAAGTGGCATCTTATAACGAGTCATGAATATAGGGTATATGTGAAAATATAGAATGTAAGTGAAAAAAAAAAGAAAGCAAAATGGAACCTTATTTATGCGGCACCTCACAATGATAACAATTTGAGAAATAATTGGGCTAAAATAATGAGAAGTTAATATTTAATATATATATATAATGAAAAGTTGGTCAATCATCACGTTATAAGTCATTCTCAAGGTTTTTAGTTAATTTTAGTATAATGTATTAGTGACATTAATTTGTTCATTTAACTATCTTAAAAAAATATATTTATTTTAGATTTATCCATAGGCATCATACTTATTTTAGAAGAAATAACTAACATACCATAAAGAATTGCTCTTACTATACCAAGCCATCAAACCTTTGAAAATTAACTATTTTCTCAAAAGATACGACCTTTGAAAATTATAACTATTTTCTCAAAAGATACGACCTTTGAAAAATAACTACAAAAAAATAAAAGAAAACACCTTTTCAAATAAATCTTTTGAAAAGAAATTCTTTTTTCTTTTTAATTTGAACAATTTATAACATTTGATGCTATAGGATTTGTCATGACCCATAAGGGGATGCATTATAAAACATCTTGATATATGCTGCTTTATGCTCCATTGAGATCATTGGGAGAGCATTTCCATGACCTTTTTGGAGGTCTTCCTATGACGAGGAAGGATCATGATACCTCTTCATAGTGGTCAACAAGTTTTCAAAAATGATGATGCTCATGTCTTACAAGAAAACGATCATCGAAGAAGAAGTCACACGATTATTTTTTTCCGATATGCTTGGATACAATTTGGGCTTTCAAGCTCAATCGTGTTTAATAGAGATGGATGGTTCTCAAGCAACCCTTATAGATCTCTTTAAGCTATTGATGTTGGACGATAAATCGAGTGAGACATTATTGTTTATAGACAACTTAGTGATTGATCAAAAGAAACTCTAGCCAAAGACACTATCATCGAAAAGAATGTTATTACTACAAGGCTAGCTATAAACCTAGTTTTTCAAAGTATAAAAATTGAGTTAGGTAAAGTGGTTCACAAAAGAAATAGATAAAGTAGGGTTTTCCTATCTACAATTCTAGATTTAACAAAAGTTGAATCAGCAAATTCCTCTCTCCATCTAATTTTTATTCACCAACATAACTCATCTCTCAATCTCCTTATTACAAAGTCATAATGATCATATGCCCTAATTTAATTGATTTGGGCTCTCAATTCTAATCAAACTACTAATTGGTTCAAATTCTAAAATTCTAAATAAATAATATATATATATATATATATATATATATCTTCCATACATATATATATATCTTCCATATATATATATATATATATATATATATATATATCTTCCATATATATATATATATATATATATATATCTTCCATATATA